TGTTTTACATTGATCACATTTCAAAAGATTGTTTCTGATTTTTTTATTCAGAAGATGAACATCTATAAATGATACCACTCAAATATTAGTTGAATTAAGTGAGATCTTCAGTCCTGCCTTTTTTCTTAGTCCATTGTTTTTTATGATCTCTTTAAAAGACCCAAAGATATCTTGGTTAATATCATCCAGAATGTTCTGGCCCCTCAGGATAAAGAAGCTTTAGTGAGCAATTGTGTCTTCTATTTTCAATACATCCATGTTTCTATACTTCCTTTCTCCTCAGCTTCCCCTACAGTGAAGATCTTTAGAACTGTCTGTAATTATACTAATTTTCAGATTATTACAAATGAGTCAGCATTTTAGTAATTTATTCAGTTATTTTAATTACAAAAGATTTGGGGGAATTTTTCTTTTAATCTTTATTTTTAAGACAGAGAGAGACAGAGTACAAGTGGGGGAAGGGCAGAGAGAGAGAGAGGGAGACTTCAGAATCTGAAGCAGGCTCCACACAGAGTCTGACACAGGGCACGAACCCATGAGCTAGCTGTGAGACACAACCTGAGCTGAAATCAGCTGCTTAACCAACTGAGCCACCCAGGCACCCTAAATTTTTCTATATAAAATTCTTCAGCATCCTTAATCAAATGTCAAAGGACAACAATGAGAAATCTGATGTGAAATGGATCAGAGTGGCAAGGTGACTTGAAATGTCTTTCTTAGTTCAGAAATATTTCTAGGTCTAGGGTTTAAATATGCAAAACTTAAAATTCCAACAAAGTGCTTTTAGGTTCAATAACATAAGCTTCTCAGCTGCTCAGACAGGATCTACAAATCATGTGGATTTGTAGATCAGATCAATGTAGAGTTCATTTAGAAAGCACTCATTGAACAACTACTACCTACTATCTACACCTAGAACCTATTTGTTCCTGCCTCCTAGGAACAAATGGTCATCTAGGGGCAAAACAAGTCACCCGATGACCAAAACAAGTCACCCCTGCAGAACATTTATTGAAAAACATATTAAACTTCTTTAGTGGTGGCCTTCAGGGTTGACTGTTAGAGTGAACGGTGAAAAAGCCCAGAGGTTTGCTGATGTAGCCAAGACCATCATTATATGTTCTGATAGAGCAGCTCTGGGAAAAGTTAATTTTGTGATTTATTTAATTTTTAATCTACTCCAAGAAAATTCTTAATAAGCTCTGAAATTGGATGAATAGCTCTCTAAGGCTGTGCATGTGCCATTGATGTCCTTTGCTAAAACAACTATTCTTTTGGGTAATACATGTGTTAGCTCATAGCTCCCAATAATTTGGATATGGATTTGTGTTTGTGGTTTTTTCAGTGTATTATTAGGAAATCTGACCTCAAACCTTTACTCTAATTCAGTCATTCCCAAATTTGTGTGACAACATGAATCTCTTTGGGGGCTTGCAATTCATATGGTATCAGACACACCGAATTGGAGGCTCTAGTCTGTATTGTTAACAGACTACCCAGGTGAGCCTAATGAGCAGATAAGTTTGGGAAACACTGGTCTAGTTCATCTGGCTTAAGATTGATTTTAAGATAAATAGGCTTTTTACCTGCCCTTGCTCTCTCTCCTCCTCTATGTCTCTTCCTGTTAAGATTTTAAAAAAAAATCTTAGGAAGAGCTAATTTGCTTTAAATTTACTTTTACTTTTAGTCTCCAGGCTGGCATTGGTGAGATACAGTTTTCCCAAAGACCTCATTTTTTGGTCTCCTTTCTTTCCACAATTTAATCAAGTGTTAAGGTGAAAAATCTGGTTCTTCTCTGTGGCTCATAAGACAGAAGAGGAATTAATTTACACTGTCTGGTGTCAGGATGCATTATGATTATGTTGGCAAAGCTATAAAAAGAAAATATCCAAAGCTTATAAAAAAAAATTCCAAAGAGGTCACTGTTAAAACAGATGGATGAAGCAGAGTGCCTGATCATTTAGCCACTACTGAGCTAAAGGATATTTGAGCCAAGGTGTACATAGCTAGAGCAGTGTGGAGAAGGTCATCAAATCATTATTATAGCTTTCAAGGGGAGAGTTCAGAATTCTATAGTAAAATGCATATTTATTTGTCTTTATAAAAATGACTAAAAAGCCGAGTAAGTACATTTACAGTCAATTCTCAATTATTCCAAGGAAATCTAATAGTGGGTTTCCTTTGTTGCATTCTTTGGGGCCTTCCTTCTCTGAAATCAGAAAATGTCTTTCCACAAAATGCAAACTAAAGCTACAAAGATAGAGTACAACAAAAATAAACAAATAAATACATAGTCTAAAATTACACCCCTCCCCTAAAAAAAGTCTTATGGTCTTTAAATAAAGTTTATATTGACCTCTTACTATTTTCAGTGACTTCTGCTAATTGTTGTGATGGAAGATAAGTTGGAAGGTAAAAGTAACACACCTGAAAATAAAAGTAATTATAGAGATTATACCAGTAATAGAAATTTGCTTTCATTCTACCGTGAAAATTTTAAAACATCTGAATATGTGTGTTCACAGATTACACAATTATACTGTGCATATATATATGTATATATATATACACATATTATGTGATAGTTAATCAGAAGGATAAAGAGAGCAAAAAATTAATTTTTAATCAAACTTGCAAATATTATTGCAATCATACTAAATTTTTTAATGTTTATTTATTTGAGAAAGAGTGAGCATGGGAGGTACAGAGGGAGGGAGAGAAAGAGAATCCCAAGCGGGCTTCTTCTTGTCAGCACAGAGTGGGGCTTGAACCCACAAACCATGAGATCATGACCTGAGCCAAAACCAAGAGTCGGATTCTTTTTTTTTTTAATGTTTTATTTATTTTTGAGACACACACACACACACACACACACACAGAGTGTGAACAGGGGAGAGACAGAAAGAGAGGGAGACACAGAATCTGAAACAGGTTCCAGGCTCTAGCTGTTAGCACAAAGTCAGACATGGGGCTCAAACTCACGAACTGCGAGATCATTAACCTAACTGCAGTTGGACACTCAACTAACTAAGCCACCAGGCACCCCACTTTAAGGAATTTAATGGAGGTGGCAGAGCCTTGCACTATGTGTGGGACAACAGCATATCCCCTTTTCGTGAGTCTTTTGTGACTCGTGTCTTTAATGAGTGTGTCAAGCAAATAATGTCATACCTATGCTCCTGGAGAAAGGTTACTGTAGTTAAGATTTTGCCTGTAAAGACTGTGTACAATGGCAAGGCTGTGGAGGTATCCTGTGACTATTCCTTGTAAAGGTATATTGTGTCCCTTTAGTGGTAAAGGCTAACTATGGCTGAGAGGCTGTTGAAATAGGCATTGAATAGAACATATTAGCCAAATTTATAGTAGCAAAATATTTACCAGTTGCTGATTGGATGGAGTCAGCAATTTAAGTTATTAGGTTGTTGGGTGTAGAGGCCTTATTGGGATGGAACCATGGCATTATGGTCACAGCAATCCAGTATAGGCCACCATTCATTTAATCCAGATTTAGGGAACAGGCCAAATAAGGCTGTTAAATGAAATAGCAGTGGGATCAGGGAAGGGCTCACTCATTACCTGTTATATAACAAGTTTTTAATACTTGAAGACCTTGTTTTAGATTACATTGAATCATGTTAACTATTTTAATGGGGTTGAGGGGTTAGGGAATGGAAGGATGGGTCATGAGTTCTTATTTTGTTAAGCCAATATATAAGTATTAAAGACTTAACTTAAATCTTCACTTATCTTTTATTGGGTCAGAGTGTCCATGCCCATTATGGGATATTTTAGGGCAATGAGTGCTATAACCATAAGGGATTTAAGCTTGGCAAAAACTCTTATAGTTAAGGTGAGGCATACCTATTTACCTTCTACTTTATATTCAGCAACTCCCTTAACTGAATCCCTGATTATGGAGGATACCATGTTTAACTTTAGTGGGATTCCAAGATATAACTGTAATTTTAGCCATAGTATTGGTTAAGACCATGAAGGTTTGCCAATTAGTGAATTTCTGCAGATATTAAAGTTAATTCAGACCCCAGGTTGTAATTCACAGAAGCCAATCAATGTCCTTTTATCTTTTGCTATATACATTTTTCTAGTAAATTTTGGATTTCCAATTAGGCCAAATTATAGGCCTTTTCTTTAAGTTGTTTTTTTTTGTTTGTTTGTTTTCTTTCCTTATATTCAGGGTTCTTTCTTTCTTTCCATTTTTTGTTTGTCTGGTTATTGTTGTTGGTCACTGGATATACCTGGGGTGTGGGGGAGTGGTGTTCTCTACTCCTATCATATTTATAAGTTTCTTCCTGGAGAGAACCTTAAATCAGTATCATCAGAGTTGGAGGCCTCCCTCATAGCAATGGTTGGTTTATATGGTTTAAAGACCATGGGCTCAGGTTAGGTTTGAATTAACCCCTTCATTGTGCCACAAGGATACCATGGGTGTTTTGCTGAGGATTAGGATCTTTGCTTCAACAGAGACATGGAGACAAAGTGGAGCAGGGGAATGTCCTGGGCCCATCACCAGACTTGATCAAAACCCTCTTCCACTATAGCCCCACGTCTTCTGTCATGTGGACTTCTTTTCTCTCTCTCTCTCTCTCTCTATTCCGATTCCCTGAGAATATTTTAGGTTTTTAGCCACATAAAGTTGTAGCTTTCAGTTTCTGTCTGCACAATCACCTGTAATACAGACCTTCTGGGTGTTTGGGTAAAAGTTTAGGAACTTGGTAGCCTCCCTTGTAGGTGGTTGCCTCTTTGTCCAGGGAATGCCAGTCTTCCTGGGATCCAGGTCCACATCCAATAAAGTCATTTTGTCTATGGCTTGGATGGAGACTATATGGCCAATGATTACAAGATTAGCCCTTTGGTGTGCTAGCAGGTAGCAATAACTGAACAAAGCCTAGGTACATTGGCTATGAGTTTTGCTTTGGTAGACCAGTTGACTACCAATGTTCCTTCCTCCCCCTACCTTTTTTTTTTTTTTTTTTCACCAGCCCCTGGGCCACAGGCCATGACGGATGTGCACCTCGATACTCCTGAGGGTCAGGAGAATGCAAGCAACAGTGGCAAGGGAAGCAGCGGCACAGGAAACCAGCAAGGTCACTACCCTTGCATGAACAACTACAAGTGGGATGCCATGCTAAATTCCCTGATAGGTGGTGATCTTTATTTCCACAAACCTCACAAAAGGCTATCTATGGGCCTGTCCCAGAGGTGCACAATTACAATGTCTGTATAGCTTTCCCAAGCAGCCAGTGATAGTCATCAGGCCAGATGTGGTAAGGTAGATTGATCCTTGGTGAGCAGAGATCACCTGCCAAACAGACCAAACCTGATACCACCAGATTATGCCAGTGTATGGTCAAACAACAACAGTTTTTATAGTGGGGGCAAGAGAGTTTTAGGGTGGAGAGTGAGGGCAATGGGCTGACAAAGACAACAGAATACCACACCACCAAGCCTACCAGCAATTAGCTGTCCTATCTCAGGCAGACTTATCATATCACAAAATCAGTTCACTTAGCCAAGAATAATTAATTAAGACTGACCAGGAGTCTTCAGTCATGGTGGAGCATATTGTGCAGTTTGTAGCACTAGTGGTTTTTATTTAAAGTGTCTTATTCACCCTTTGGTAAGGGAGAGATTCCTGTCCTGGGGATATGGGGATGGCTAAACACACAGTTTTTGACACTGAACAGATCAGATCAACAACAAATTATTAGTCGCATATATTTACAGCTCAAGGAAAAGGATGTTGTAGGCTATGCTGGGCCTCATAGGGATTATAGTCAGGAACAGTGTGAACAACCAAGAGCTATAGGAGGCAGACTTGTAGTAACAAGAGTGTGTGATGCCTCTTGGTTCTCACAAGGGGATATGACTGGTTTGTTTGAATAATTCCACACGCTGGCAAAACCACTATCTAGGGATAAGTAGGGACTGTGCCTGGTCCCTTTGATAAGGAGTGTTTGGCTAGGGTACCCTATCCGTGAAAGCAGAGTGAAGAGGGAAACTTATGCTTAGGCCATTTGGACTCTCCCAGTTTTACCAAATGTCAGGGCAGCATTTAATATTGAGCCTTAATTTAGGCCTTACACCATGGAGAAATGAATTCTGTGTATGATTGTGACTCAGTTGGAAATTTACCCCAGAGAGAATAAATTCTAATGTGGAAGTGAATGATTATACTTGGAATCACAAGACTATTTTCTTCTATGAAGGAAAAATGGGGATTTATGAGTTAAAATAAGTTCTATTAAAGAATAATGCATTTACATTATCGCATATCTTTTTTTTTTTTTTTTGACTGAGCAAAATGCATATCTTCCTGATACATGGATAAGAAACTGCTGAGGGGCTCCTGGCTGGATCGGTGCATAGAGTATCCAACCTTTGTTTTTGGCAGTGTACGTTTGAGCCTCATGTTAGGTGTAGAGATTATATTAAAAAAATAAAATAAAACCCCTTTGTCTCCACCACTATCCCATGAAACAAGAAAGTAAACATTATTTATAAAAAAGAAAGAAATTATTAAAACTTAGCTAGAACTTCCTTTTATGGTATAAAGGAAGACTTAATGTCCTTTAGAAAGCCCTAGTAAACAATACTTTAAAATGTAGAACATATTCTCAAAACTTTTTTTAATGAATGTTCAGGTTGGCAAATAAGAGAATACTTCATAAGCCCAGAACAATGAGAAATCACAAATCTAAAAGCATGCAAGTGGTGTACTCACTTCCCTGAGTTCCCCAGCAATTCACATCTTTTGTTTTAAAAAGCCATGTTCTGGGGACAACGAAAGAAACTTAGGAACCACTCAAGTTGGAATATCAAATTGGGTCCCCAGCATAAGGTTTAGGCTGCTGAAGAGTGTAACATGCTCAGCCCAAGAGTAATGTGGCAACACCCTAACCTTCAAAGGAAGACAGCAAGGATACTTGCCAGTCTTGTCCTGATTTGGGTTGGGTGGAAAAGGAGGGGTGTGGAATTCTCCTGATCTTTTATTACCAAAAGTGGAACCTTGCAGAAGTTTACAACTTTGTTGTCTGAAAAATTCCATGCTAAATTTAAATTTAATTTAAATTTAATTTAAAGCTAACCAATTTGATAGTGCTCCCTGACCCCACTAAAGGCAAAGTCAGAGCCTATATAAAGGAAAACACTTTAATTTGGGCCTTGGGTAATTTCAAGGAAAAGGTTTTATAAAACATGAATTCACACCAAAAATCATAAAACATGCAAGGAAATAGAGTCTCTTTCTTATGTGTCTAATTGGAATTCCCAAGGAAGTAATAAAGGATAAAAGTAATATGCAAAGAAATAATACCTGAAAATTTTCCCAAATTGATGAAAGTCTCAAACTTAGGAATCCTAACAAATCTTAAGAAGGAAAAACAAGGGGCGCCTGGGTGGCTCATCAGTTAAGTGTCTGACTTCATTCAGCTCAGGTCATGATCTCATGGTTCATGGGTTCGAGCCCTCATCGGGCTCTGTGCTGACAGCTCAGAGCCTGGAGCCTGTTTCAGATTCTGTGTCTCCCTCTCTCTCTGACCCTCCCTTGTTCACGTTGCCTCTCTCTCTCTCAGAAATTAAAAAAAAAACACATATTAAAAAAAGAAGGAAAAACAAAAAGGTAACTAGTCATTTTGTGATGACATTTTAGAACACCAAAGAGATAAATCCTGAAAATAAGTCAGAAAAAAAAAAAAAGACTCCATGAACCACAAAGAATGACAATGACAATAATATCAACAGTGTATTAGTCAGGGTTCTCTAGAAAAACAGAACCAAAAGGATATATATTTATTTATTATAAAGAATTGACTCATGCTGTTATGGAGAATGAGAAATTCCCAGATCTGTAGTCAGCAAGCTGGAGACTTAGATGAGACAATGGTAAGTTCCATTCTAAGTCTGAGGGTCTGAGAAGCAGGAGAGCTAAGGGTGTAAGTTTCAGTCTCAGTCTGAGTCTGAAGCAGGGTAGAGACTAATGCCCCAGCCTTGAGACAGTCAGGCAGAGAGACCAAATTCTTCCTTGCTTAGTCTTTTGTTATATTCAAGTATTCAGTGGGTTGGACAATGACCATCCACACTGGGGAAGGCAGTCTTCTTTATTCAGTCTACTGATACAAATATTTCCCAGAACCACCCTCACAGACACCCTGAATATTGTTTAAACAAATACCTGGAATCCTGTGGCTCAGCCAATACAATACATAAAATTTTCATATTCCGCAAACTTCTTAAACAGCAAAAATGGAATAAGGTAGGAGAGTATTGTGAAGTGCTTCTAAAAGGTAACTTCAACCTAGAGTAGTATATCTTGCAAGAATGAGGGTCAAATAGATCTTTTCAGATATACAAAAACCACTAGTTGCCCCAAAGGAATTTCTACAAACTGTACTTTAGGAGAAAAGGGGGAATTATCTCAATTTCAATGTGCAAAAAAGAATGTTGTGAGAATATGATGGTATTATGGATATAAAGAAGAATGTAGTTCTTAAATACGTGCTGAAATACTTGATATGAAGTGTTCTGTCATCAGAAGCTTGCTTTCAAATGGTTGAACAAAAACTGTGTGTATGTTTAGGGAGAGAGAGCAAATATAGCAAACTGTTAACAATTTTTTAAATTAGTAGAGGTTATACACTGTTCTTTCAATTTATCTGTATGACAATATTTAAATACAAAATTCAAGGGAAGATACTATAACTTGAAGCCATTTATTTAATAATCCTAGAATTTTGTCACAAATTATTATAAGCCCCATCTATTTTCTCCATGACCAACAATCTTCCCATAAATATCTAGTTTCCTGGTGTTTCCTCTCTGTGAACCCTCCAAGATCACCAGCAGTGGTTCAGTGACCACATTACCAGTCATGCCCTATTCATAAATCAAGGGTCCATATATATATGTGTCTATTTTATTCTATTATTTTCTCTATCCTTGCAGAATAGCACACTATCTTAATAACTAATACTTTGCAATGAATCTTTATATCTGATAGTGTAAGCTCTTAAACTTTATAATGAGTTTTCATTGTAAGTCCTTCTACCATTTTCCTTTCTTTTTAAGTAAGAAGCTATACTTGGTCTGTTGCATTTATATATAAATTTTGTAATGAGCTTATCACTCTTATTATTGTGGATTTGTTAATATAAGTTCCATTTTTAATAGTCTTCTAACAATCCTCCTTCACCTCAGTCTCTATTTGCGGACAATGCATCTTATGCATACTTTTATATGTGACTTAGAAATGTTCATGGTTTTACAGTGCTCAGAGGAAGAAATACAGTACCTTTTAAAAATTATTTTTAAAAGATTTTTTTTTTTTTGAGAGAGAGAGAGTACAAGTGGGGGAGAAGGGCAGAGGGAGAGGGAGAGAGAATCCAAAGCAGGCTCCACACCAAGCACTAAACCTGGAGCCAAAATCAAAAGTCAGGTGCTTAACCGACTGAGCCACCCAGGTGCCTCAACACCATCTCTTATTGGCATTCATTGTCTTTGCAATTTGGGTTCTAGTGATCTTATTTTTCCAGCTCTATATGGCTTAACATTCCATGAGAGCTAGACAGTTCCTTTTCCTTTAATTGGAAGATGCTTTTGACCCTCACTTCATGATTTAGCTTAAGATATTTTCCTGGCTTGGTAAGCCTTTTCATGTCTTTTTTATCTATATGTATCCCTTCCAAATATTAGGGCCCAATGTGTATTCTACAGCTTCTGTGAAGTTTTTCTTAATTACCCCCAAATTCAATAACGTTTTCCCTTTTATATTTCTTTTTTAAAGTTTATTTATTTTGAGAGAGACAAACAGCAAAGAGGAGGAGCAAAGAGCAAGGGAGAGAGAGAATCCCAAGCAGACTCCATGCTGCCAACAGAGTCTGATGAAGGGGGTTGATCCTATGAACCATGAGATCATGAACCTGAGCTGAAACCAAGAGTCGAAGCTTAACCAACTGAGCCACCCATGCACCCCTCCCTTTTATATTTCTATAGCATTTTCCATTTATATTAGTATTTGAATATATCATATATTGACTTCTGTTTTTACATTCCCTTTAATGTGTATGCATTTCATCTGTACAATTAGGTT